AATTTTACATTCAATCAAATACGACAAAGAAAATCGTAAAGATGAAATATTTTATTTTTGTAATAAATTTAATTATTATTTTCTAATTTAATTTGTCAACAAATAAAATAAGTTGATTCATTTTTTTTAAAAAAAAAAGATGATTAAATTGAGGGATAGTAGTGAAAAGAAGTGGAAATACTTCAAAATATCATTAAGATTAGCTATGCAAAATGAATATATAATTTGTATGGAATTCTTTTCAGTTATGAAAATGAAATAACTAAGATTATCAACAAATGAATCATCAAGTACCACAATTTCTAAACAATTTTACAAGTGTAATCAAAAAAAGGAAGAGTAAACCACTTCAATCCATAATCTTTTAAACAAACCGAACCGATAGTTATCTATTTAGGTCATAATGAATGAAAAACGATCAATCTTACTAACTTTACTTTCACTTTATACTATAAAAAAGTGTGCACTAAATATACGTGTATATTGCTAAATACACGTGCATATTGCTAAATATACGTGTATATTGCTAAATACACATGCATATTGCTAAATATACGTGTATATTGCTAAATATACGGGTATCCTAATATTGTCATTCAATGTTTTTATTGATCTTAATGTTTTCATTCATTATAGCCTGAATCGTTTTCTTTGTTTTGTTTAAAAAGGTTAAATTAAGATTAAATCAAGGTTACATTAAGGTTAAATTAAATTAAAGTTAAATTAAGCATGAAAAATTATATATCAATTTTACTTATTATGGTAACATATCGTAGCACTGGAGTTAATCTAAATTAGCGTACAAAATAAATTTATCGCACGAATAAATATCATTAATTTCAGTAAACGGGCCAACAAAAAAAGATAATTTTAAAAGTCATACATTCTTATTTTGATTCACTGATAATTTCTGTAATTTTATGATTTAAAAGAAGAAGAAAAGAACGAAAATTAACTTTAAAACAAATATTGAATTTTAATATTATATACAAATAATAATAATTATTATTATATTCATTGTTGTTTATTTCTTATCATTTCCATTTCATATTATAATTTCATAATTAAAATTACTTATCAATTAATTAATTTATTTCTGTTTTCTTTCATAATTTCGTATTTATTATTATTCAATGCAACAAACAAATTTCTTATTTCTTCCCACTGTTTTCTTCCATTGTTAATTGACTTCATTTACTATTTTTATATTCATTTTAAATAATAAAAAATATAAAGAAAGGAAGAAGCAACGAAAACAAATGACAGATTAACATCCCAACCCATTCCATCCCATTCCATAGAACATTTTAGACATAAATAGGCCAATTAAGGATGGGTGACAAATTTTTGGAGAAAGAATGAAGAGAGAGAGAGAGAGAGAGAGAGAGATGAGAATCAGAGAAGAGGTATATTCTCTTTCTATTTGCCCTGCTAAGCTGTTTTCCTTTTTGCAAAAATTTCCTCTTGGATTTTACCTAGTCAATTCATCCTTTTCTCTCCCTTCGCTTTATTTCATCTTCTCAAACAAATAGATCATATTTTTATATAAACAAATAGATCATATTCTTTTATCATCCTGATATGAATTATCATTTTAAAATCTTTTATCACTATTACTGATAGGTATATAATTGAAGATGAAAATTTATTGAAAGAAAATTAAAGAGTGAATTACATTAGAATGAATGAAATTTTACTAAAATAAATAATGCTAACAGATAGGTATGAATGATAATAGTATGATATCTTAGTGATGATATCTATGAAATATACTTGAAATGATAACTTATTTATATATTTACTCATCTACATGCATTTGATAACTTAATGATACCTAATAAATATGATAGAAATGATAAATCGCTCACATATTGCTTCATACATATTTTTTTACGGATAATTAATAATTTATGAAAATGCATCCGACAAAAATGCCAATATTGAAAGTAACAAATGTGATAAAAATAATCATAAATATTATTCATATATCATAATACTCATTAAAATTACTTCATCACTTTGATTAATAGTGTAGCTTTCCACGGATAATTTTGATTATTATCCTAATTAATTGTTGTAAAATAGACTTTGATATATTCGATTATCATATCATAATTGTTCAGCTGATCGATTAATAATTAATTTAAAGATCGCTAATTTCTTCCTTTCTTTTTTGTCTTCTTTTGTTTGATTTAATCTAATATTTTATAGTTACAGCATCTTTTCTATTTGATTAAAGATTTCATATGTTTTATAAAAACAATTATTTTCATTTGATTATGGGAAAAGAGAGAGAGAGAGAGAGAGAGAGAGAGGAAGGAAGTGAAAAAGAAAGAATGAAAAATGTAATAATATTTAATGTTTTTAAAGTAACATTTACCATTCATTTCTCTTTTTTTTCTTCAACAAATTTATTTTTAGGAAAAAATATTTTTATCTTTTTCTACTTTCGTTAAAATTACTATTTGTATTTGTTACCATTGACTAATTGATAATTTCTTATCACTAATTAATTGATAATTTCTTATCATTGACCAATTGATAATTTCTTATCACTAATTATTTGATAACTTTGTCTTTTTCCACCATTTAATTATGTGATTTCATATAATTTGTTGTTTTTCAGTGCAAAACGATGAATTTCATTAATTCTTTAATTTCTTTTGGAAAAGAATTTTGCAAAACTTTGATTTTTAATGAAAAATTGAAAATTTTCTTATCATTTCAAATTGAATTTTCTAATAAATATGCAATATTCGAATAAATTCAGTTGTATTTTCTGTTAAAACAATGGAAGGAAAAGAATTGAAAGAAAAAAAAGAGAAAATAAACTTTGAAAACAAAAAAAAAGTTCGTTAATTATAAATAAGAAACTTATCAGTTGTTATCACTCATACGTTACTATTAATTATCACTGTTAGGAATATAAGATTTACAATACAATATTAAATATTTATCAAAACTAATTTAATATGTCTTAACATAAATAATATATTAAAATTCTATACAAATCATAAGAGATAATAAGGCAAAGGTCAAAGAATGCTGCGCACTGCATATATTCTAATTAGCAGATTAATTATAAAGAATACTTTGTTCTCCTGAAGTTAACTGATATTTGAATTATATTTGGTAGGGAATCATTATATCATTAAGAAATTTATCACAAAACTAAATAACCTAATAATAATTTAAAATAAGTTTAATAATTAAAAAAATGCAATAGTAATTTTATTATAACAATATAAAGTAAATTTTATTAATTTTACTATAACTATATGTTATCTTTTAACATATAAAGCATATATATGCAAATTATTCAGCAAAAAAAACGAAAATGTTTAGTTTTATTTAACAAAATTATTTACAACAAAAATTTAAACATATAAAAATTTTCGAATTTTTTTTCCAATTTTTTGAAAATTTCCAACAAAAATTTATTTGGAGTAAACGAAAGAAAAATAATCAAAAATGAATAAATTTGCATATTGACAGCAATTTAACAGAAAAAACACAATTGTTTTTTTATAATGAATATATTGAGTTAATCGAAATTTTATTATAATAATAATTTTCATTAATTAATAAATGATATGATAATAATGGAAGAAAGTTTAGAAAGAACAAACAAACAAAATAGACTTATCTCTTCTCCCCCTTGACCTTTTTTCCTTTATCATATCCTTTATCATTATATATCTTAACAAATATATATATATATTTGCATATTCATCATTATCAATTAATTATAGATATATAAAAGTTATTATCTTTTGATAAAAAGACCCAACAACAAGTGAATAAATAATGTATACGAAATGAAGAATAAAAACGGAAAGAGTAACGGAATGAGGAAGTCGTAAGAAATCCGGTTTGTCGGATTATTTCTTCTTCAACTATATTATTTTTAATTTATAATTCGTTAGTTTTGGTCATCGATAACTATAAAGAAAATGGATAAAAATGATAAAAACAAATTTGTTTATTTTTAAAAATTATATATATATTTTCTCCTTTTTTTAAATATATTATTTTTTATTATGACTTAAACAGAAATATTTGATATGATTTATTGATTAGTGCCAATTAATATCTTATTGATTAATAACCATTTTATAATAATTATTTTATCATGTAAAATTATCTTATCATCGATGAGAATGATAAATGATAAGAATGATTTTATCAATAGATAAGTAAGTAATGTAAAATTGAAAGTAATCAGTAAGGTATCATAATGAGTTTAAAAATGATGAAATTATTCGTTGAAATATCGCTAAATTACTTTAAGCATATTTTAATATTTGCTTAGACATATTTATTTTAAAAAAAATGAAATTTAATTATTAAAATTTGTATTTTTTTATTTTCTTCTTTTCCTTCACCAAATATTCCTCCTCTTTTCTCTTCTTTTTCACTCTTTTCTCATCTTTTTCATTTTCTTTTCAAATTTTCTTACTTCTTTTCATCACAATCCTTCAATTCCTTCCCCTCTAAAAAGATTTTATTTTCAACAAATTCTTTCGTTGTTCTATGATTGGCTCACTCTAAAATTCTACCAAATGTTTGTTTATTTATTCCTTTTAGTTTGAAATGAAAATTTGTCTAATTGTTTAATGTTTGTTAGCTTTTTTTCTTTCTCTCTTCTTTTTCTCTCTCTTAATTTTATTTTTCTTTTTTAATTTCATTTTTCACTTTTATCTTTCACAAATTTTATTTAGAAAAAGGATTTTCAATTTTAAGTGATAAGATAAAATATTGTTTATATTAAATACAAGTGATAAGTGATAAGCGATAATATAAAAGATTTTCAATACTAACTGATAATATAACAAATATTTTTCTTTTTTCCTGAATTAATTATTAAAATTTTCCTATAATTTAATTATTATCATCATCTTTTGTTTCTATTATGTTATGATTTATTATCATTTGCTGATATGAAATTTATCATAAAAATTTTAAATGAATTTCTTAACATTTATTTGATATAGAAACAAATGAATCGAAGATGCAATATACAAGAAGAAAGTTCATCATCCATTCTACACCTTTCCATTATTTTGACTGTACGATTATTAATGCAAGGAAAAGTAAGTTCCTTTCTTTTTCATTGCAGAATATTTGAGAATTATTAAAATTACATTTCCATTTTTATGCTTACTTTTAATAACATTTTATTTCGATTTAATTTGAAATATAATTTAAAAATTGGATGAGATCGATTATTTGTTAAAAATCTAACATCTGTCAATAAATATCACATTTAATTTATTATAATAAGCAAATTTTTTGATATTTTAAAATTGTAGAAATTCTTTCCAATTCATTCGTATTCAATTGAAAATGAATTATTTAAAGGAATGAATCTTTAAATTATAACGAACTCTTATGAAAATCTAAAACTTTCATTTTTTATGTATTGAAATGTCTGATTAGATTAACAACAATGCATTTTAAAGCTGAAGAATAGTACGGATAGGAAGAAAGGGAGTAGCTGATAAAGTGATGATAATGGGGAACATTAAGAGCATTAAGCATAGTGATAACAATGATGATGATGATGATAATGATAATGATGATAATGATGATGATTATAGTGATGATAATAGGCAAATGGTAAAATAAATTAGCCTTTTTACTGATATTTCTTAGTTCTGTCGTTGTTGTTAGCTGAAATTCGATCTTACAGTTAAAAGAAAGCTTTTAGAGGGAAGTATGGAAGAGAATTCTTTCTATAGATGCTACGATAAATATCAAATTTCTAAATTTTAGCATTGCATTCATAGCTTACTATTAAACAAAACGATGGCGAGCGAGAAAGGAGAAAATTTTAGGAATAGAAAAGTTGGAGAGAAGGAAAGAAAGAAAGAAAGAAAGAAAGAAAAATATTTCAATGTTCAAAGTATAATAATTGAATTAAATCAATCCTAAAATTTAATGTTTTATTTCATAACAAACGAATAAAAAATTCCTGATGATATTGCTAATTGTTTACTTTTTTGTCTGGACTCTCCATCAAAATAATAATAATTTCATTGATTTCACAATTTTTGGTTAAAATTAAATTATTTTGAAATTTAGAAAGGAATTATTGCATTAAAGTAATTATTTTAGAATTATATAATTATTTTCAACCGAAAAAATTCCGATCTTTTTTGCCTTTTTTTCTTATTTACTAAAAATGATTTCTGTCACAATGATTGATATTTGTGATAATTTTGTGTTACATAATGAAACCAAAGAAGGATATGAGAAGAATATAAAAATAAAGAAAACGTGATAAAGAATGATGAAGGATAGAAGGAGGAGGATAGATTTGCATAAGTGTATGTTAATGGATCAGAGGGTTTAAGCCTTTCGTCTCATTCTTCATTTACAGTTTGGTAGCTAAATATTGGCCAAGCCAAGAGATAAGGATAAATGAAAGAGATGATCAATAATTTCTGAGAAATTAATATAATATGCATAAAGTTGGTCTATAATGATAATTACCATATAATTAACATAAGAATACAAAAGGAATAAAAAGGTGGTAAGAATAATAATTATCGCTTAAAATGAAAATCTAATTATCATTTAATTTTTATCAGTAATGGAAATATTTAACAATTATTATTTACTATCATTCTTTTTTTCTTGTATGAAAAACAAAGAAAAATTTATTCTTAAATTTTTAGCAAGAAAAAAAAGAATAGGATAAGATTGTTGTGATATTATTTGTTTACAAATAACAAGTTAGATATATTCTTAACCATTTTTTCCTTAATTTATTGTTATTGACGTTGCTATTATTATTACTATTATTATTATTTATTAATTATTATTATTCATTATTATCGTTGTTGTTTACTATTGTTGTTTATTGTTATTGAAATTGCTTATTATTATTATTATTATTATTATTATTATTATTATTATTATTATTATTATTATTGCTGTCGTTTATTATTATTATTTTTTAATATTGTTATTAATCATTATTATTGTTATCATTATTATTAATTATTATAATTGATTACAATTAGCTTATTTCAGGAAGTTGGTAGCATCATTGGTAAACGTGGTGAGCATATTAAATTAATTCGTGATCAGTCTGGTGCAAAAATTAACATTTCGGATGGTTCATGTCCGGAACGTATTGTTGCAATTACGGGTAATACAATAACAATCAATAAAGCATTTTTCCTGATTTGTGCAAAATTACAGCAGGTTATCACTTTATTGAAACATTAATAAGTTTAATTGCTGTTGCCTTCAGGAAATATATTTTAACAAATAAATCGATTGATTTGAAATTTGATAAGAATTTCTTCCTTCTTTTTTTCTTAAAATATTTCTAACTATACATCTTTTTCAATTTCTCGTAGTAAATATGCATTTATTTTTCTGTAGGATTTACAAGCTCTTCCAAATAGCATTCCAAAACCTCCGATCACAATGCGTTTGATTGTGCCTGCAACACAGTGTGGCTGTATTATCGGTAAAGGTGGCTCAAAAATTAAGGAAATTCGTGAAGTAAGTAAGTAAATAAATTAGGCGGAAAAATTTGACGTAATTATTTTTTTATATTTATTAACAAAATTTGATTATTATTTAACTTTTCCTTTGAAGGACAAGAAAAAGTAATGATGAGTAGCTATATATTGAAACTTTAACTTATTCTAACGATTATTCAGGTATTAAAAAAATGAAATTAATTTAATTATTTAATTAAATGCTAAAAAAAATTATACTAATTTCAATGCTCTCAAATAGAACCATACAATAACCATACAAAACTGTTCGATGGTTTATTTTTAATTCACCTGTTGATTAAATTAACGTAAGAAATTGATGAAAATCAGAAGTTCAGACTTAAAAAGGGATCAATCAATAAAATGATAATTGTAATATCAGAAATTACGAACTCAATGATCAAAATTCTTTTTCAAATTTAATTTTTGCATTTAACTGTTTGCAATCTCTTTTTTCTCTTTTAGGCTACAGGTGCATCAATACAGGTAGCAAGTGAAATGCTTCCAAGTTCAACTGAACGTCCGGTTACAATTTCGGGAAGTGCCGACTCAATCGTCGATTGTATGCAACATATATGTCAAATTTTATTAGAAGTTAGAAATTTAATTTAATGCTTATTCCAAATTGAATAAACAACTTTGACATAAATTTGTTTATATCAAACTATTTTAAAGAGTTCTTTTAAAAAGATTTTTTTTCTTAAATTTTATTTTTATTCATTCGAAACATACAATTTAGTGTATACATTTATAAAATAAATATTTTCTATCTTTTCAACTAAATTTAATCGATAATTTTTCTTTGTTTTTTAATTATCATTTTCATTAGCCTTTCTTATTATTTCAATTTTTTGAATATACAAAAAATCAGAAAAGAAAAATTGCTTTGAAAAATGAAAATTTAATTAACACAAGTTTAAGGTTAAATTTTTTGTAACATATTTAAAATTGAGTTTTTCTACGATAGCTAATGGAATAATGCTTTCATAAATAATTATTCATTATTTTCAGGCACCAGCAAAAGGTAATACATTACCTTATCGCCCAAAACCGACCTTTAATCCGGCCCTATTAGCTAGTTCAGCTGCAGCTGCAGCAGCTTCACTATTACAGCAACGACAGCAACAGCAGCAGCAACAACAACAACAACAGCAGCAGCAATCTTATCCAACATTAATTAATCCATTGGATGTTAGTTTTTACTTTACTTTTTTTCTTTCTTTTGAAATTTCTTATAAACTTTAATTTCTTCTTTTTTCCACGAAAACCTTATGATATTATAACTTTTGAAGAGCTAAATTTTCTGAAATAAAGCAAAATATTTCTTTTTCTTTTCACTTTCAAAATACTTACCAAAATCATCCATTCATTATATATTTACTATGTTGTTTATTATTATAAATGTTTGTTTACAATTCTTTTCGAATTAATTAAATTGCAACAATTCTCCTACGGGCGACTCATTTCATTTGTTCTTTTTAGTTTCTTTTGTTTGTTTGTTTATTTGTTTATTTGTTTGTTTGTTTATTTTCGAAATAATCTTTCCAAATAAGAGAAAAAGAAACGAAAAATAAAAAGAAATTCACTATACCAATTTATTCTTTTTTATTGCATGCCGCTTTAAAATTTAACCCTACCGTATTTTTCAAAATTACTCCATATTACTGTGGAAAAATACCGTTATCGTTTTTATAATTTTGTCATTTTCTTGTTTTGTTCTTTTTTTTTATTTTCATATTTTAGAAAGTTTAAAAAATTTTATAATATATTATCAGTCAACATTAAATGTTCCAATTGATTAAATTTGATTAAATTTTGGTTGAAAAAATAATTCAAATTTCTTTCTTCGATAATTTTAAAAATTACAAATGTAACTATTTTCACTCAATCTTTTTAATCATTTAAAATAAGAAAACACATTTATTTTCATTTATATAAGTTCAAAGTTCAATAATTCTAATTTATATTATTTTTAATATTTTCATAAATCAATTAAAAGAGGTATCGGAGAGTATCGTTCTAAAATTGCTAAGTAAAAATGCGAAGTTATTCATTCAATTAGTTGAAAATAACCAAATATATAGTAAACAGATAAATGCCAATAAATTTACAAACAGTCTCGTTTTTGTAAATAAAAACAAATTTTTAATGAAATCAAAATTAGCGAACAATCAATCACATTAGATATACATATATATGTATGTATTGTAAGTGTAGAAAGAATAGATCGTATGAATATCTATCGTATGAGCAAAAATATAACATAACGATATAAACATGGGAGCATACAAAAGTTAATATAAGAATGATTATTCATTTAAATATATAACTATCAATCAAATTTTGAAATATTATAAAATTTAATTTTGAAATAAAAAAAAGTGCGATGAAAATATTGTTTGTATTTGTATGATAAAATGCTTACTTTTAGCAACTTAATGTAGGAAAATAAATGGAATTAGGCTAAAGGAGAAATTCTTGGATGAAGCATAAATTCTAAAATAAATTGAAAATTGGAAAATTAAATTTGCGAAAATCGTAATGGAATTTGTTATCTGTCTCTCATACTTTTTCTTCTTCTTCTTATGTATTGCCTTCTGTCTCCTCTTCCGTCTTCTTATTACCATTCCGTTTTTCTTTTCCAAATTTTTCATTCAGAATATTTCCGTGCAAGTGCTACTGTAGCACTCTATTAATATAATATAACACCTATATCAATGCATAATATAAAATTAAAATAAAGAATCAATTAATTATTTTATAGCATAAATTAAAGCAATGGAAGGATTCAGTTAAGATTGTTTTCCTTTCTATTTTCTACGGATTGAATCGTTTTTTATTTTGCTTGCAATCAGTGTCTTTTCTTTGATTTAAAATGATATCATCAGTTGATAAAAGAGCGATAGCTGGGAAGTAGTTACTTTTTAATTAATTTAGAAATAAAATTAAGTGATAAAAGATCAAACTGTTCAAAGACTTTAATGAAAAGAAAGACAGATATCTTTCTTATCTATTCTCTGCTACATTTATTTATCCAACGTATTTTTATTATATTATAGTTATCATATTTATTATATTATGCTCGATAACATAATATATCACACTCTTATTATTTTAAATTTAGTTTTTATATTGGAAATAAATTATCCAAAATAAATACTTTCTTCCTTTAATTATTTTATCATAAATTTCATTACAAAGTTTGCTTATCATTCAATCAATCACCAAATAAAATCATATATTCTCATTCTTCTTTTTCTTCATTCTCCTATGTAATAATCATTTTTTTCATTAATTTCTATGATTTCATGAAATTGTCAAAAATTTTTAAAATTAAATTTATATAATCGTAAAATAGTGAAAGAAAAGAAAAAAGGAAAGTGTGTTGTATATTTCAGCTGGTTAGAGTAACTTCCCCTTATGTCGCAACTACCCAATTACTGCCAACTGTGCCTGCATTGAGCCCTTATACAGGTACTACTACTACTACTCTTATCACTACTCTTATCATCACTACTTTTACTACTATTACTACTCTTATCACTACTACTAATTATTGTGTTTTATTTGTTCTTTTTAATTTTGCTTTTGAAATTTCAACTTATTTATTTCTTTTGTCTTGTTGCATGTTCTTTTTTTTGGAATTTTGAAGAGGTAAAAACGGAAAGAAAACGTTAATAAATTAACTTTTTTAATTTTACTCTTTATCGAATTCGATAATTCGATAATGTTATATAATAACTCATTTCAATAATTTTTCTTTACTTATCCCTTCATGATCCGGAAATGATATGATTCCGGATGAATGGTAAAGAAAAATCATTATTCTTTTCACTTCAAATTCCATAAAGTTTTTTTTCCTCTCCCATTTTTACCATTGAAATTTGAATGAGAATTTAAAGAATTTCAAAGTTTTATAAAATGTGATTTTTTTCCCTTTTTCTGCTCCTTTGACCCCTATCGTATCGCTAAATAAATTTATACTTATTGAAATTTAAAAAAAAAATTTAAAATTTACATGGCTATCATAATTTCTATTTCTTGGATTTTTTTTGAGAATTGATGTTATCACATATTATTTATTAATAATGATTTTTCTTTACCAATCATCCGGAATTTCTCTTTATTTATTAATAGTGTTTCATTTTAAAATGTCAATTTCAGATTCAAATTTTTTTTGTTTTTTTTAGATCGATAATTTGATCAAAAAAAGAATTCCGACATTGATATATTGTGTTCTTTTTGTTGTAGGATAAATTCTACTTAGTTTTATTATCATTTTTTTTTGAATAATTTATGGATAATCTCCAGTATTTGGCAATAGTTTGTTCACTTCGGTACCCGTAAAAACTGATATAATCGAACAACAGCAACAAGCGATAAATACTGCAATATCATGGGAAAAGCAAGTTGATTTTGCTCAAACACTGATGAATTCGCATTATGCTGCTGCTATGGATTTGGTAGGAAAGTAAGTTTCTAAAAAATTTGAATTATGTTAGTAATAGTAATGATAATAATAACCGTAATAACAATACCAAAAATAAATAGTAATTAATAAATAAAAATAATGATAACAATTAATAATAATAATAATAATAATAATAATAATAATAATAATAATGATAAGAACAGTAATATCAATAATAAACGACCGGGATTAACATGGATTAGGTTAAATGTTTGAATTACTGAACATTGGTGGACATGAAATTTCTATTGTGTTACTGAGAGAGAGAGAGAGAGTTGTTGAACACCTGTTGAAGAAAAACAATTAAAATTCATAACATTAGAAATATAAGCGAAGGATGAGAATTGAGTATTTTATAATTCTTCTAAATTTATCATTTAAACATTAATTACTTATGTTTATTTTAAGATATCTTTTCTTTCAAATGACATATTAGTTTCCTTTTGTTAAATTTCGCCTAATATGACCTCTCAAAAAGGTCAAATTATTGGACATCCAATGGGATGTGATAGTTTCTATTATGTTACTATGATAAAGGGGTATTGAAAAGATATAGAATTGAACGGGTTCAAAAATGAAAAGTTTAAAAAAAGGTAAGTATGAAAGATGGGAAATAGTGATAAAATGGATTACATTCATGATAAAAAGAAGCAGAGTTGAGGTCAAAAGAAAATATTTGTAGAAAAATTAGGCAAAAGAGAAAAAAAGAAAAATTACGAAATAATAGAAGAAGGAAAATATGGAATAATGTAAGAAATGAAAAATGAAAGAAATTTGATGAAATTTTGATAAAGCAAAGTTGATTAAATAAATAAATTACTTATCATTAGTGCACTCATCAATATATGAGTACAAAGTAACGCTAATTAGCCACCGTTTAGCACATTAAAAAAGAACAGATCAATGAATAATTAATATTCAAAAATTATTACTGATAAGAAGTCAGTGATTGAAGAGAAATTGATATGAAGGAAAAGAAAAATAGTTTAAAATATAGATAAGAAGAGAAGTAAGAGAAAAAAAAATGCAAATTATTTTGGAACTACGATTATGAAAATTATTAAACTGCTTGCTGACATCATAATTGAAGATATTAGTGCTGATGAAAACAACAAGAAATCATTATGAAATAATATATGCAAATTTCCAAGATTCGAATTTCTAAGATTTCTAAATACAAATACAATAAAATTTTAGAAAAAGAAAAAATATATATTATGATAAAGGAACTTGACATATAAAAAGGGAGACATTTTGAAAAACAGCTGGTAGCAATCGGAATGGACAAAATACTGGGAAAAGCAAATTGATGGGAAAATATCTCACTAATTCTTAGATTCTCCGAACTATAATCTAAGCAGTGATAACAGCAATACACCAAACTAAGAAGTTAAGACCTATAATTAGTTGATCGTTGCATTAGACTAGGTTGGGATAGGTTTATATTGGGATTGTCTATTTAATTTTTTCTGCTCAATAAATCTCGTCGAGTTGTTATGATCAACTCCTAATCATTTTACTTTGATTTCTGATTTAAATTTTATTTTCAGTATATTTCCGAGCCATACAGCAGCTTTGATTAAAGCAGCCAAGCAGGATCATATGGCTAGTCCAGCACGCATTTCACCAATATTATTACAACAGAACACTCGACGGTTCACCCCATACTAATTTTATTCTTTCATTGCATATCTTCCGTAGAGCTAATAACTTAAACAATTTGTTATTTATGAGTTGTTTTGATCAAACGAAATCTAAATTTCATGAAATTTGATGTCATAATTAAAAGTGATATCGAGGATCAAAAAGTCTCTTCAGGTTAACATTCCCCTACGAGCTGTATGGCACCACTTAACCAGATCATCCAAGTGTAAGCTGCAAAGCTGTTCATTTAATGAAAGAAAGCAGTAGTTAAAATAGTAGTAAAAATCCCTAGAATCAAATTCAACTCAATAAATGACAAATAGCTTTCAACTGCTCGGTTACTTTATGCACATTCGCTTCTAAAATTGATATAAAAATGCTGCTGCTCAGCAAACAGATTCATTCAGGCGAGACAAAACTTCAAACCATGCATATGCACTGCTACTGGCACCTGCTATCGATTATAACTTAAGATGATTAAATGAATCCATTTCGAAAAGTGACTGAAGCACCTGAACCAAAATTAACCGTGGCAAAATCTGATGGAGACATCAAAATCCCGCGACCTTCCTCATCTGTTTTTTAAAATTCATTTTTTTTATCGGTTTTCCAAATTTTAAGCAGATGTCTTGAGCGTTCCTTTTAAATTTTGATATATAATGTAGAGTAATGAAAAAAAAAATCATTTATTGACTTCGCAATATATGCTCCATAGCATTCTTGTAAAGAATGACATTTCGAAAAAGTCATGACAGTAAAGAAAAAATGCAATTCACTAAAATGATATAACTTCAAAAATAAATAATACACTTTCAACTTCCTTTTTACAAATAGATCCTAATTCTGAGTCATTAATACCCTAAAAATACGATGGAACAAAAACACCTTTTTGATAGCTCCTCTCTTGCGTAATCAAAAGTTAGATTTTAAGATTTATCTACAGAAATAGCGATTTCTGAGAATGCTACTTTCATAAGCAATTGCCATTTACAGTATTTTAGATAAACAAAAGCTCAGCAATTATGAAAATATCTTTGGATATAAGAATTTAATAAAAATTTACTAAGTGCATGATCAAAACATGTCCTTAAAAAAATAAACGAAATCAAATGTTGAAAGATATCATAAATGAGAGTTTTGAAAAAAAACTAGGAATTTCAACATATACATACAGAAAGTTCACTATACTAGCACTGAATTGCTGTGAGTACGACAATCAATTTTACCGTCATCAGCTGTTATTCCAAATGTTGTCAACCATTCGCATAGTTTAGACTCTTCCAGACCCAACCTTGATGCTAATATTGTTACGCTTATTGTAGGACGAAATCTGTAAATTGAACATGAATAAGTATTATTTTTTTGACTTCATAGACTGTAAATAAATTATACGGATAAATCAAAGTTTCCTGATGCCATTATATCCGAAGAAACAAAAGAATGCTGTTCATTCCTATCAGCAAAAAATACCATGCAAAGGGAAAGTCTAATAAAATCTACGAAAAGATGACATATAAAACAGACAATATTTTTCGAATCTTTATAAAGGTAGATTTGCCTAATATTAAAGATCATATGAGAAAAAATCATATCTTAAAAATCAAATTTGTCAACCCACGATTTCAAGCAAGCATTTAATGCAGCCTTCCGTTCTCGTTCCAGAAATAGATCCATTACGTATGATGCCATCCTTGGCGCTTCCTGGTATAGTCGGAAAAGTTTCACATAATTTCCAAGAGCCCAAGCTTCACGAGTTTTCAGAGAAAACATAAGACAGGGGTCCTTCCGCGCCTTTTCATCTAATTCACTGAGTAGGGTAGTTTGATCTAAAATACAAATTGAAAAAATCAGTGAACGAAATTGTTTCTTTAGATAAATTTCGGAAAAGAATGCAGAATTTTAACTGGAAGTTTCACTTATATTGAGCTTTTGGCCTACTCGTCACCTATCATTTGCTGCATGTGCTTTTACGTGTCTCTTCTAAAAGCACTTATCTAATATCTACAAATAGAAATGTTATACCGTACATTAAAAACCTTTTTTCTGAAAACATAAATCATACCTATAGTATTAGCAACTGATATGTAATAAAGCAATCGATAAGAGGTAAATTCATAGCGATTTGGAGAATCAGGTAATTCTTTATATAATAATTTTAGCTGGCTCTGACACTGGTTAAACTCTTCACGATCACCCTGCTCCAATGCAATCCGTGCATTTGTTTCGTAAACATTCACAGTAAAATCGGTCCTTATACACTGGATCTAAAGATTTGTCATATAGTAGTTTGAAAGTTTAAAATTCCATCTAAATGATCTTGTTAGAAGTGCAGTATATCAGTATTATCAGTACTATCAGTAATAACAAAACATATGAGCAACAAAGTTTAAAGTAACCAACCCAACAAAATACCATTTAATCAATCTGTCAAAGGCTTTGGTTTTTGAAGAGAAATTATAATCGCTTTCGCCTTTTCGAAAGGTGAAAAATGCATTTTTTATATGATATCTTTATTATTTATGTGAAGAGAAACTCTCAAAATTTTCAGATTAGCAAATCCAATAAGAAAGCAATAAGGATAAATCATTCAAGCGAAAAAACCCTCAAGTATTTTACACTCTCACTAATATCTACACTCTTGGGATATCTCTTGCATGATATTGAATAACAAGTTATGGAGATTACCATCAAATCTTGACGGATACTTCGAAGCTGATCATTTGCATATGTATAATCTCGATTAGTTGCATATTTCTGTTGTACCAATTTCAGTGCTTTCTCAAGTATCTTAAGTGGTCTCACCGTGCTCAGTTCTGGAGCCTAGAAAAGAGAACTGTAAGATAAAAGAAACTTTAAAAAATAACTGCACATACATGATATATGTAGCTTAATGTGTTTATCATGGAATAAACAACTGTCTTAAACCTCCCGAAATAAAGAACTAAATAACGAAAACTAACTGAAGTGAGACGAAAATAAGATTTTTCGACATCCATACATGTTCCAACAACGCTATCACTTGTTCCCTGTTCTCCCTCTCGATCAATGTACCAATCAAGACGACGTCGCATTTCCGTGAATTTTGCTCGGCGTACTTCATCATCTCGAGCAAAACGTTTAGCACGTTCTTCACGTTGCGCGTTACTTCGTTCATCAGCAGTCCATCGTCCAGATTTTCCATTATTCTTCTTTTGCTTCTTTTTCTTTTTCTGCGCAGCGGTTTGCTTGAACTAAGATTACTGGATTAAAAGAAAAAATAAAAAACTTTATGCTACTTTTATTAAATAAAATCTCCTGCTTCCTGATTTGCTTCCAGTTTATAATTTTATTCTAACTAAATTTAGTCTTGCAAAAAAATTTTTCCTTTCTTTGAAAAAAAATATATATTGAACTCATTTATGCGTAAAAAATCTTTTACTAATTATTATAAAAACCTTTTCGTCTTAGAAAATAAAAAGTACTTTTGGCTGCTCATCAACTGAATTATCTTCATCAGATGGAGGATGAACACGAGGACTGAACGGTATTCGTCTTTTAGATTGTTCACGAAACGGAGGAGATCGAGAATTCCCTCGATGGCTCATCTCATGTTTCGACTTTTTCGGTAACCGTCTCTCCATTTCTGCGTTTGTATTTAAACCCTTTTTCAATTGATTAGCTGGCGTCCAACCCATTTTCAACTCAAAATTGACTTCGGAAGGCAGTGACTCCTAAATGGAATAGACGAATTTTAAGAAATGAAAAAATTTAAGTCATCAATAAAACATAATTGTCCACGATTCACAGTAATTGCTCATCAGTTAAGGACAAAAAAGGAGATAAAAAACAAGCAATCTAACTGCAACAATCTATTTACTGAGTAAATTAATCACGAAATCATTCAATCGAACAGACTTGATGAACAAATTGCATTAGATTTGAAAGACAAGCTGAATTTAACAATTAAGTAATTTTGTTTGATTTTCAGCAACATTATTAGATATTATCTTTGATATTAAGGATAATGTTAGAATTTTTATTAGTCGCTTTTTTTCAAAATTAATATTTGTTTGGAGATTTCCAGCAAATGTTAACTTCAAAAACGTGAGTAATCAAAAAAAGCTATAAACTCACACGATCCCAATCAACTGTTTTGTAAGCACCGGACATTAACAGAGGATTTAATTTTTGCTTGAAATATTCCTCTAGCTTATCACGATCCTCCTTCTTTTCCACTGCCATATATGAGCGTTCCACATACCTCCTAAAACATGAGATTTAAGTTTTCTACTTAAGCATCTCAATTTAATTTAAACAAGGCATCCCATCCGATGAACAATATCTCAACTAGATATCGATATCCCCTTTACATATACTTTGCGTCACAAATCAGTACTGGAATTCTTTCAACTCATTCAAGAAAAAATGATTATTCCGGGAAGATTTCATTTTTAACAAAAAAATTGAATAACTTATTCATACTCCAATTTGTTTTTCTTTAGATTACGCGATTAATAGTTTTAGTTAAATAAAGAAAGATTAGCTAGTCTGTACTTGATAAGTTACATAAGCAAAGCCAAAAAAAACTTACTTAACGGGATCCGGTATGTTTGGTGATTCCAGTCCAAATGATTGAGGGTTTTGATGAAAAACCGGTGCGGTATTAAGTCCTCGAGGACGATTAATTGAAAAACGTATAGGATGCTGTGTTGCATTGTTATTTCGACCATATTCCCCTCCTCCTGATCCTGATACTGATGCTGATCTATTCCCATTAAAACCAAACTGTCGTGGTCTAGGAGCAACGTTTGATGATGCCCATGGGCTCATGAAATCTGGATGATAACTGCCATTTGATGATGGTAGAGGAGTCCCTGATGGAGTAAAACCATAATGTACTCCTACATAAGCCGAATTTCCCTGTGTTATACCATAGGTTTGGGGAGGTGGTGGTGGTAACGATGAAGACAGTGATGGTGATGATGACGATGGTGGCGGCGGTGGTGGCGGTGGTAGTAAACGAGGTAGAAATGGTGATATTCCAAGACTATGTTGCTCCATCCATGGATAGTAATGCAATGTTTGAGACCGTATATCGGATTGAAGTTGAGAATGATACCATGTCATGGATGAAATATTCGAAGAAGTGGAAGTGGCTGAAACGTTAACCTTTTTCAAGGCTTCCTGTGCTTTTTCCCAAGCTAACGTTTGATCATCTCGTGGTGTCGACACCTCGACGTTGGCGTTTTGGGGTGGCATTGGAATTCCGGCAATACAGCTATTATCCGATTCAGATATCCAAGCATATCTGAAATAAATATTTCCCATCAAACCTTGTTGGAATATTACCCTTACAAATCCTCTTATCTCATATATAATTTTTCTTATGTGATTCAAATGAATCTCTGAAATAAACTTATTTTTAGATAAGGACAGGAAGAGGTCAAGAGTCTCAAATTAGCTTAACACACTTCTACAAAGCATGCATCATTTACTCCAATCTCACATGCAGTTATCATCAAGTAACTTTTGGATGTTAACCTTAAGTTAGCTACGTCGATATAATAGGTATTGAACTGGTCTTCAGAAATCAGTGCTACATGATGCGAACCCAATACAAGTTGGAAAATTATTTGAAAAATAGTAGAGTGCGAATGAAGGAAAGATGGTGGAATGATTCATTTTTTTTTAATTCGTTATCATTCATCAAGCTCCTCCCGGTAATCTGAAATATACCAGCAATCCCTACAAAACCCAACTTATTTCGGTGATCTTGAACATATGAAGCATTTCCATCAAATCATTAGGTAAAAGTAACCCAGAATAAAGTGAAAATAAAACAGATGCAGGAGAAATAAATATGGTAAAATTTCATGTTCATCATTCATCACTACTTACCTCTCCTCTCTTATCATTTATCTCGTTCCATGTGTTACTTTAAATTTCACTACTCTAAAATTTAAAATTCCTTTTTCTTTTTTTGTTTCAAATTTCAATAAAATACATGAACAGTTATCTAAAATAAGATAAAAAGATATCCAACGCTGAGAGAATTTTAGATTACAAAAGAAGGAGATATTGAACGATTACTCACCTTCCAGCGGAACTGTTGCCTGACGCCGATGATTTCGATGGTAATGATGTCATTGGAAGGATCAAATTGTTAAGTTATCACCCTGACCGTTCTACCTATTTAGCTGAAAGTTTTGTATTGGAACATTAAACTTACCATAGAAATTTGCCTAAAGCAAACCCATGTTTCCTCGTTAAGGACAATACCCAAGAAATTTGCCACTAATAATAACAGTTCAATATATGCGATTTAACGGACCACATTTCAATAAAACAAAATTATTCACCTAATTTGATTGGGAATTTTGTTGGTAATATTTGATGTAGTAGGTTAATTAATGCTCTGGCGATAGCAGCTTTCAGGAATGTTAGGAGAGAAACAATACATGTTACGGAGTAATTCAGGGAATAATAAAGTGAAAAAATATATGTTGCAGAGATTGAGAATAAAGTGAGATGAAATGAAAGGACAAGAGAGACGATAAAAGATTATTATTGTCATGGATTGTGGGGTTATGTTAATAACGTTGCATTGTAATTATTAGTGATGATGAAGACATTGCCAAAACATCGTAAGGGAAGAGAAGGTAGGATCCATAACTTCCATAAATCGAGAGGATGTGTTAGATATTCATTTCCGATAACTGTTGTAGTGATAAAGAGTATCACTGGTAAGATAGAGAACTTTTTGCATTATTTATTAAGATAGTTAAGAACAGCTTTTCCTTTTTCTGCTTTTGATAATTTTTTTAATTCGACTGCACTCAGTTTAATGTAATAATTTAATTATCCATTGTCATTGAATTCCTTAGTAGCTTTTTCTGAAAAAATCAATGAAATATATTAGAGAGTATTCAAGATGACTGTTGGAGATTGTTTGAGCTTCCAGAAATTTCATGTATCGACTCTCCTTTTTTCTTTCCCTATTTTTTGTAATTTTCAAAATTTTCAGGATGCCTTATGCCAATCAACCTCATGTTACAATCACTGCGTTAAATGATGAAATCGTTCGATTTGTTTTGGAGGACACCGATTTAAGTGTTGCCAATTCGCTACGACGAATTTTTATGGCTGAAGTACCAACTATGGGTAAATTTCAATAATTTCAGGTTATTCTAGGAAATGAAAATCTCGTTTAATACGTACCAGTCGGTCGGTTTATAATTCGTATGGTTTAATTGTAGATTCCTGGTATGCTCCGATGTTTGAGAAGATATTCAGAAGACTTTTACTGCTTTTTTGTTTAATATTCACTGTAGTAAATTAGGTATGAGCACCTATCTGTAAAAATGTTATCATTAAAAATGTGAAGCCTGTTATATTCATTCTGTGATGACTAAGTAGCGCAGAAAAAATTGATAAAAAATAAGGTACATATGAGTTAAGAAAATGAAAGATTTTGCGACAAATAAATTGAATAATTTAAAAATAAAAGAAAAATCTAGTCATACTTTCGAGATTTTCTTTAATCTCTGTTATTTTTCTCTTGTTTTTCTTATACAGTTAATCTCTGCTTTATTTCCTTTCAAAGCTTAATTCTATTTGAAATATACAGCAATCGACTGGGTACAAATTGAATCAAATACGAGTGTCTTGCACGATGAATTCATTTCCCATCGTCTTGGTTTAATACCATTAACATCAGATTCGGTAGTAGATCAGATGCAGTTTTCACGGGTTTGTGCTATCTTCATATTCAATAGCATGGAGTCACGCATTGCAACAATAAAAGTTTCAGTAGTTTTTTGACATATTCGAATAATACTATAAAATGTTAACCATAGATCGGTTTTAGATCTTTTATATATTTTTGGATAATTCTTACTATTGTTTAGTCCATTTTGTTTTCAGGATTGTCAATGTACAGAATTTTGTCAGTTTTGTGCAGTGGAAATGCGGCTTCGAGTGCGTTGTGATGATGAGGGGATAAGAGCAGTGACAACGGCTGATCTTGAAACTAGTAATCCAGATGTAGCTCCCGCATGTGGCGTTCATATACGTAATCGTAATGCTGAGGAAAGTGTCAGTGATGATATTCTCATCGTTAAATTGAGGAAAGGCCAAGATATTGATATTAAATGCATTGCAAAAAAGGTAAATAATGTACTATTCAATTACTGTAAAATTTGTCTAATATTCAACTAAAAATATTTCACACTGTAACTCCTCATATTTTAATATTTGCATGTTGTTATTTAGATATAATTTTAACTCATGAAATTCATAGATTTTGGATTTCGTTAATTAATGGATATTTCATGTCCGACCTATAGAAACCCTCCGATCTCTTTATTTTGGGAAGTCTTCCAAGATTTATATTGAGTAGAAACTGAAGTCAGTTTTAAAAAATGGAATTATTTCATTTAAAAATTGCTGTTCGGTATTCAGTTTTAAAATTTAATTTATCCGCTTTGGAAGAGTATTATCCAGAACTTGGTGTTGTTTAACATATATTCTTAAAGGGATTCGGCAAAGAACACGCTAAATGGAATCCAACGTGTTGCGTAGCGTTTGAGTACGACCCAGATAATGCTCTCAGGCATACAGTGTTAGCAAAACCAGAAGAATGGCCGAAAAGTGAATACTCTCAATTGGAAGATGATGAATATGAAGCACCTTTTGATCCGATGGCTAAACCAAATAAATTCTGGTTCACAGTTGAATCTACTGGGGCTTTAAAGGTAGAATTTTTTATCAGGCTTTTTTTTTTTCTTCCTCGTAATTTACTAGAAAAATATCGGACCGAATAAAATTTGGAGTTTCAAGCAATATCTTACAAATTTTGTTAGTTTTAAGATTTTATTTTAGAAAGATCTCCTAAACTGCCACATTTCTTTTATTGCAATAATCTAATCAGTTAATTGTTGATGTTTCAGGCAGAAAACATCGTTTTAAGCGGTATTTCTGTTTTGAAAAAGAAATTGGCCGACTTGCAAAATCAACTGCAAAGAGAGTTGTTGCAGCAAGGGCATGTTTATCATTGAGCATTGAGCATGTTTGCACTAATCGGTATTTTATTTTTTGAGAAAAGTATTTTCTATTTTGTCGAAGTTTTCCTCACAAGTCAAGATCTCCTTGCAGTGAAATATTGATCGATTTGAATTCTTTATTGGATCTGCGGATTGATTGTTACATTGTTATTTGACTATTCTATACAAAATTCAGCAAATATTATGAGAATTTGTTTTGTACATTGTTCATTCTTACATTTCAATACTAAAGAAAAATTTAATTTTCAATAGTGTGTTTTTCGTCCATACTGAACGAGAAAAATTAATTATTGGTTCGAATTCATTCATGATTTTTTATAGAAAAGAAGGAAATGATCCTTTAACTGATTTATGATGTCGATAACATGCTGTAACCTTTGTTTGTTTCTATTTCTTATCCCAAATTTAATTTCAAAGCACCGTTTATGTACCGTTTACAAGATGAGCATATAAGAATAAATATGATATTGAAATTAAGAGAAAATGATAGCTTTTCAGGTATGAAGATTATTGTTCTTTTCCCAACGTCAGCGGTTAGTTGTGAAAGTATCTGTTCTTATACATTGGAATTTTTTTTCTCCGCCTTTCTTTCCTTAAAATGATATGATTGTATTTTTTCCTTTCCAAGGACGTGAGACAGTGGAAAAAAGTGTGAACGAAGGAAATATAGTAATAATTATAACGTTATAATATAAAATTTCCTTTTTTATATTTCTTCTATTTCCATACACTCAACTCATAAGTTGTATATCGTTTCCATCATCATTTGATTGTTACAAGTCTTTGTCGTTTTCTTAATTTTTATTTGAATTTTTTTCTTATCCATACTTTTATTTCATCCTTCTTTAAAAAAAAAATTTCATCTTGGAGCTGGTTTCGGCTGTTTGTCATGTAGAAACGTCATCTAAAATTCATGAATAAGAGAAATATTCGCATGGGACATTAAAAAGATGAGGAATAATATTTCCATATAAGAATAAAAGAGAAAGAAGGTAAAAGTGTGAAATAAGATGAAAATAGGATAAGGTGGGAATCTTTATCCTATCAAGAATTATCATCATAATCTCTTTTTACTGTAATTATTTAAAATTTTTGAATAAAAATGATTCTCATTCGATAAATTTAAACAAAGACTGTGATTTTTTGGAAATAGCAGAAATTTAAAAGCAATAACACTCATTTCAAACAGGATTTTTCCTAGGAACAAAGTGGTTCTACAGTTTTTTAAAGTTTTCTTCAAATTTCAATGATACGTTTAGAAAGCTTTTTCTTCGCCATACAATGATATCAATTTTCAGTCAATTTCTGAATTCAAAAAAAGAAAAGGTAGAGGTGAGCTGAAATAGATGTCAGAATTTGGAAATCTGATGAATGTATGCCCAACTGACTTCAAAGTTTACGATTTCTGAAAATTTTAGTTTTTTTTATATTACGAAAATATTTACGTATAAATTATAAATTTAACCACATTGTTTTTGAAATTAAGAATAGCAATTTAATTATCATAAGGAAGTGTTGTTCCAACTATTCTTCAGGCAAATTAAGATTTCATTTTCATCAGTTTTTCTTTAGTTTCAAAAATTAAAAGAGATCAATAAGCATTTGGAGCTTTTATTGTTGGTGAAATATTGTCTTGCGATTTTCTACTATCATCCCTTTCTTTTCAGTTTTCCATATTTTTAATCATAGCAAGAAATAAAAGATAGAAAAGATGAAGGAAAAAAAGAAAAAAGAAATTCACTTTTACAATGCTTAACCTCAAAAGGAATTCTCATAAAGGTCAACTAATCGCGATATTTTTCACATCTACTTCCTCCCTTTCTTTTCATCCCCTTACCCTGCGGCTCTTACCCGATCATCTTAATACATACTATTTACCTTTCTTTTATTACCACACAGGCAATCACTTTTGATATTCATTCTTTCATTTGACCCCAAATAATAAATTCATTGACAGGGCGATGAAATTTGGTATAACCTTGGTTACATTACATGCCATAATTATTCATTCATACAGTAAGGAACAGGACGATTAAATTTTTTTTTTTATTGATAAAAATTTGATTATAAATAAAATTATATCAA